AGTAAAGGAACGATATCGTATATACCTCTAACCTAACCTCATAAGAAAACATAGAAAAGACAAGCGAGGCGAGGCGAGGCGAGAAGTCCTCTATAAAAAAAGAAGAAAAAAGAAAAAGAAAAAACCAAAATAACTCCCTTCCTTCGGTAAAGATCTTATGTGAGACAGCGCATACAGGCTATCTAATTACTATAAGTAAAAGAGGTCGATAGTATAGCACTAAATTGGAAAAAGAAGTTACCCCAAAGAACAGCCGAATCATCTGTGCTATGGTAACCCCGGATTTACCGATTTGACCAATTAGGCTATTGTATTCGCCGTATAATAGATTTACGGAATACTATTATAGGCGTTACAAATATGATAATCTATTCTATAATAAGCTTTTGTTATAGCATAGCAAAGACAAACACAAAGACAGATAAGGCCTATTACTAGAGAAGGAGAGATATAAACTTTTTTCCTCTTCTTAAGGTAAAATATATAGAAATAACTCAAAAATATCAAAATAGAAAAATAGTAAGAAATAGAAAATAACTCGCCAAAAAAGGGAGAAGAAAAAGAAAAAGAAAACATGGGAGAAATAAAATGATGGATCCGTACAAACACCCAACCCCGATTAAAAGAAGAAGGATGATCTAGTTAGTGGTTTTCTTATACCGTGATCGATTAACCCCACATCTCCATATCTACATCCCTCCAGACATTTTACGTTTCGCCAACGCCAACGCCAACAACGGGAGGGCAGGGAATACGTATACGACGATACCAATCGATACCTATCCGTCCCGCCCCATACCGTTCCGTGATCCGCGGGAGGATAGATAGATTTACTTTACTTCTATCATATATATGGCTCATATGGATCGTTCTTGGAGGTGAGGGAGGCTCGAAGCTTATTTTTAAATCGGAGGTAATGGGAGGAAGGAAGATAAGTTTGAATACGCTTTTCAGTATTTTTGAGATGATGGAGAGAGGAGGAGAGGGAGGGGAAGAGGAAGATTGTAAGGCGTTGGGTATGCTGGGTATGCTGGGTATGCTGGGTTTTGATGAGTAACTAATAATTATAAAAAAATATGTAATATCATAGTACTACCGTATATAAAATAAATAATTAGTATAAAGAGGTATATAAATAACACAACAAACTTATCTATACCTCCCAATACCTCCCAATAAATCCCAATAAATCCCTTCCAAGAAAAGAACTCAAATTTCCTACATAAAAACAGTCCTCACAAGTAAAAACCAAACCAGATTCAATAGTGAGGGGTATCAGATACCCTAACCTCCTTATCCTTACTCGTTTAGTAACGTCGTAGGTGGTTAATGGAAAAGCTGTCAAAAGCAGTGTTTCATCCATCTATTCCATTATATCCATCCCACTTCCCTTCCTGCAACCATCACACGACACAACAAGACAAGACAAGACAAGAAAAGACTTGGCGCATGTATTCATGCATTTCTGCATTCATGTTCCCCGCCTCAGCATCCTGTACCTATAAAATACCTCCATAGTGGAGAAGCCCACCTACCTAGGGTCTATAAAACCCCCCCTCTTTCAAACTTCCCAACCTCTTAACCATCCCATCAACCATCCATCCATCACCAATTGGACAGACTTCAGATTCGTCTTCTTCTCACCAGACAAGACAAGACCAGGCTGAACTAACAGTATTGCGGGCCCTGAAGTGAGGTGTAGTGCAGACTGAGCCAGCCAGCCTTGCAGGATAGGCATGGTGCAGGATAGAATAGGAGGGGCTTCGGGGTATTTATTCATACAGTAGAAGTACATGAAAGCTAAAACCTACCAACCTCCTACCTTACCTTACCTACTGCAGGTATAGAACGGATCACGCGCTATCCGCGTCAAACCATCATCTCTATCACATCACATCACAGAGCGAACCACTCCACTCACCGGCACCAGCGAACCAAAATTACGTGCATTTAGTAAGAATTCCTAAGCTATCTACAAACCTACTATAACAATTTCTCTTTTTATACAGTTTTATAACAAAATGACTGATTTGTTACTACTTCTAGAAGAAGAGTTAGGTAGTTTGTTGTGAATCGTACGAACCATTCCCTTAGCGGTGCTAATTCAAGCCCTGTGCCATGCATGGGTGGGGAAGTTAAGCGCTGGTTTAGTACGGTATGGTATTGAGTTCCACCACTAATCACCAATCACCTAATGCAATGCCAGACGCCAGGCCGGGGTGACGGACGGGTGGGTGATGGCGAAAGTGGAAAATATAGATCCGCTGTAGGCGTGGAGTCAATCCACTCTTGACGGGCCATATTTGGTTTTGCTTTCTAGTTAGTGGTTGGAGTAGATTTTTGTTATGTATAGTATAGTAGGTATAGTATAGTGCAGTACCGAGGAGAGGAAAAAGAGAGAGGGCTGAAGAACAGACGAAGTGACAGATGTGACACTTTGAGTTGGTCTGATGTTTTTCATGTTCATGCTTATGCTTAGGTATGCTCATGTCTGGGCATTATTTACGGAGGACTTGGTATGATAGTGTCACACCTCCCGTGACATTATCATCTGTGAGGTGAGGGCGGAAAGAAGGACGGGCGGGAGAGCTCCACAAAGCTTCCTCAACCTCGGCTACAACACAACACAATACCAAAAAGACGGGGAAGAATGAAATCCAGATCCGCAGAATAACGTTTGACGAAGAAAAGATCTCTCTCTCTTGACATGTCTTGTCTCGTCACATCTTGTCTTGCCCGACGAGAAAACCTGCTGCTGCATCGAATGGAAGTCTTGGGCTTGCTTGGTGCTTGTCCTTGGTCCTCGACTACGAGTTATTCCCTGTGGCACACTGGCAGTGGCGCCTGAAGAAGATCTGATACGAGTACGCCCCGGGGACTAAGTCAGGATTGAGGGTGCCTGAAACTTTGTGGTCTTGTCAAAACCCATAGTCGGATTCTATCAGATTTCTAGATGTGAAGGAGGAGAGAGGGGAGAGATGGCAAGTGGAAGAGGCTGCAACTTGCGGTAGGATGGATGAATCCGTTGCATATCTCGACGCCTCTTGTCTTTTTTGACGCCGCTTGGCGCTTGCAGAGAGGTCGCTGCACTGGGCTGCGCTGCTTCCGCACGACTTCCGCTGGTGGAGGTGGAGGTGCAGCTCAGGTGCAGCCAGCAGCCAGCAGCCAGCTGCAGCTTGTCCCAGACCCCCAGCGCTTTGAAACGCCGGATTTTTAGGGCACATGTCGGTATTTGCGATAGCTTCTCTTTCTTTGCCACAACCAGTATGGATTGCGATGTCTGTGGTTTTGGTTGGGAGGAGAATACGCTCTGAAGTTTTCCCTGCGTGATACGCTTGGGGTGTTGATATTTACCTGATCGCAAGGTTTTGTTGACAAACAAAGGCTTTCTAGAAGGCCGGGAACAGAAACAAGCGCTTCCATGGAAATGGGCTGCTCTTCTTGCTCTGAGGTCGTTGAGTGGCGATGAAGTGGAAACTGAATTTCCAATGTGTACACAGGACAAACTTGCTTCGAGTTCATTCTGCAGCCGAGGTGTAAGTAGGGCTAGGTCAGTAACCCTACCCTATGCCGTTGCAGATACGATGTAGGTTTGTCAGAACCAGTAGAAGCAGGACAGGCATAAATAGTAAGACGTGAGAGACGGCCGAGTAATCCAGACCAGAGAATCGGGATGGAGGCGAACTTCATGCCAAATGCCACAATTCAGCCCTTCCCAAGCCGCTTCGCCGAGTCAGGCTCACCGCTGAAGGCTCCTGAACTCGGGCTCAGGCTTAAGCTCAGGGTCTCGTAGACGGCCTTTGGGGTCTTGAATACCCGCTAACTTTGCCTTCTGTGGCCTACTGCCATTGCATGCGAACGCTATTTCAGTGTGTGCCTTGTTTCCCCAGCGGGTGCTGGACTACCAACTCGACTACTGTGCAATCGCTAGAACCGCCAAGCCCATTAGCACCTGTAGACGTAGACGTAGCGTTGCCAGCTGCCGTGCAGTGCCGACCGACCGACCGACCGACCGACCGACCACAGGCTCTACTTACCCCATTTTCGCTTCCCCTTACCTTAGGTTCCCCTCCCCCTTCCATTCCCTCAGTTGGTCGGTCACGCCTCCTCTCACTCTCCCGCTGCGCTGCTCTGGCGACAACACATCCAACATCCTCCTCTCCTCTCATCCCCTTTCTCACCATCTCCACGCTTCCTCTACGACTTCCCTCCTCCAAATCCACTCCACCTCGGCGTGGTGTGGACGATAGATTAATTGCTTTCACAGCAATCCAACTGCATTGTGTTGATGTGCTTGGCATTCAAACCTCCAACCTGCGCAATTTCAGCGGTGCACCTAATCAAAGCACGGCTGTTTTCGTTAGGCCTCTTCGCCTCGACCCATTCGACTCCCGCCCGTCTCTGCTCCAACCATCACTCACCCGATTCTTCTTTCACCACCCACCCACCTGAACCGACGACCACAACACCACTTCCTACGCATCGTGAAGACCACAGGCGTGCTGGGAAAGTCTGTCTAGGCTCCTCCATATTACGGCTGTTTACGAGAACTACCGGAAGTGCCTCACAGTTTTCTCTTCGAATCCAATCCAATCCCAAGTCCCTCGATTGCAAATCACCCCCAAACCATCCCAAACTCCTCGTCGTCCTTTCCTCGCCATTCACATCCCATCGAATTTCCCGATTTACCTATCATTTATACTATTCTCGATAATTGTCCGCTGTTTGTTTGATTCTTTGACTGCATACCCAGTATTCCAATAGCGTAATTCCTCGAGCCGAGCGACAGTCGAATCACATCCTACCACGAGCCGACCTACATTCACCAACAACACCAACGCTGGTCCTGGCTTTTCGACCAACATCTCGACTTTTCATCCACGCAAGCTACATCGGCTCCCCTCTTTACACATATAACCAGCTTTTCTCAGACAGCTGAAACACTCGAGCGACGAAATTACCCCCTTCCGACACCGCGATATCGCGGCACACCGTTCATCATGAGAGAAGTCAACTTTAGCATCCCAAACGTCAACAAGGCATCTGTGGGTATCACCACGGCCTTGTACGATCGTAGAGCTCTTGATTGTACCTCGACTCTCCCACTCATCAACTCTCTTAACCACCTTGCCTATCTCACCACATCCTCGGCCCGGATTAGGGACATCCTCACGGTCGATGGAGGCGTGGAGAGGCTAGTATGCCTCTTGAAGGCTGGAAGAAGTAAGGATATGATGGATATGTGGAAATGGAATCTGGCATTTCAGTGTGTGGTTAATATTGGGGTCCGTGGCTCGGAAAATGTCCGCACACGAGTGGTGGAAGCGGATATGGTTCCAGTGATTGCTACCATCCTCGACAATTACATCAAAGTGGTTGATAGGTGCCGCGAAAAGGCAGAGGAAGCAAAGAATAAGGCACTGGCTGAATCCCGTCACCATCGCTCAGGTGAGCATCGAAGCTCTCGCAAAGGGTCCTTTGGGAGCCGTGTCTCCCGCTTTGAATCGGATTTTAGAGCTTCCCGAAGACAAGCTCCTCCACCATCAATCGATATTCCTGTAACCTTTCCAAATCCTACTTTGACTGCGCCTCCAGACGCCATGGACACTCGTCCAACTGGGGCAGCGTTTGCAGTCACTGCACCTCCTGAAAGAACGAATTTCCCCACTCACAGACATCACCACCATCACCACCACCACAGAGCCCCCGATGCCAGGCAACACTTTTTGCCTCCCTCCCGACACAACTTACAGCCACTTGCTTCTGCTGTTCCTTCAATGGATGCCGCAGATGGGTTCAACTTGAGACCTGTTCGTGACGTGGATCGTCTACCATCCATGGTTCCAGGAATCCACAGTGGTATTGGATCACAACCAGAGTCTCCTACCACACCTATACCTCCACCCAATCAACTAAGATCACCAACTGTTCGACCTACCTCTTTGTCTGCGCCAGCAGTTCGCTCTCGCAGAAGACCATCAATCAGACACCAAGCGTCAATGGCTGGGGACCAGGAAGATCCCAGCGCAGATAGCATGGCATCTGATGAATCTGGTGACCCAGAAATGTCAGGAATCAGTGCTGTTACAGCAGGTGAAATTCAATCTCCAATCAATATACAAGATATCAGCATGGACGAGGGGGATAGCATGATCACAGCAGTTGAGACCCCACTTGGATTAACTACTCCCAGTGTCACAGAAGCCCAGGATGCTGGGACATTTAATATCACGCACCGTTCTGTCCTTGATGGTAGCATGATTAATGATGCCACCACTCCCACTGTCCCAACCATGGGACTCTCACCTGCACAACCTACGGTCGCAAACACCCCTCCGATCATGCCCAATGCCACGATTCCCCGATATCTTCTAGACCGACCAACTCCTACAAATGGGCAGGTTCTAGCTGCAATGCCAAGAGACGAAGATGTTCTCATGTCACTACAATTACTCGCATACGTCTCCAAATATTGCAACCTGCGTTCATATTTCCAACGATCCCACCTCGTACCCAAACTCAAGATTGGATCGGAACTTCATCTGCTGGATGTGGACGAGTCATTGGGCAATACCTTCTCCCCATCCTCCTCTGCTTCCTCGCTCACATTGTGCGCATCAGCTTGCGACTCTGAGGAAGAAGAATATCTTCTCCCAGACGATTTCAACATTTTCCCTCTAGTGGAAAAATTCACCGTCAGACATCACAGCCAGGATATGCAATATTGGGCAGGAGTTGTGATGCGTAATCTTTGTCGCAAAGACGATAGCAGAGGGGGCATCAGACAATGTGCTTATTACCAATGCGGGAAATGGGAAGAATACACCAGACAATTTGCCAAATGCAGGAGATGCAGGAGGACAAAGTACTGCAGCAAAGAGTGTCAGAAGAGCGCATGGGTATTCCACAGGCATTGGTGTGTTGCAGCTACACAATAATAGTGCCTACAAGTTACGAGAAGCGAGTCCAAAATGGACCATAATCAAAGTATGATAAGGGTTCAGCAGATAGCAAAGAACGAACCGGAATACGAGTTTCCTAATATTATAATGAAGATTCAAGGGTGTTATGAAGCCGGCGAGCGGGCTCATTCATTGAGTCAAGCATGACTACACAGTCAACTCCAACTCAAATCATTGCATTGCGGGCGTTTGATAGCATGGAAAACAAGTCCATTTTATACGATCGATACCATACCCCCGCTCGCAAAATCATCATATTGCTGCGAATCATTTTGGTTTCTTTTGTCAAATCAGCTCATCAGCATACGAATGAAGGACCAGAATCTCTTCAAAAGCGAACAAAGCAAACGGAATAAATAAAATGCAAACATGCACCAAAAATTCTCGTCGATTTCGAAGCGTTCTTTGTCTCCGGTCCATCGGTCTACAGATACATCCCCAGCGAACTGCCTACCATAGATTTGGTAGTTAGCGTCCCGCTTCTCATGGCTTGCGCTTGTGCTGCTGCATAGAAAGCCCAGCATTCGTCACCAGTCTCCAATACGCGGAGGGTGATCTTATTCTCGGGCAGCAACTGGTTCTGATGTTTGCTCCGGGAGCGGAGAAGTGTCGCGAGCGAAAGTTGGGGATGAAGGGTTGGATTACATGATCTTTAACATAATGGCTTGCGTGGGATACCTTTTTTTGCGTCACCTTTTTTTTCATCAAATAACCAATTATTTGGATTGGTCTATTTGTCTTGGGATGGGATGGGATGGGATGGAAAGCATTGGGAAGGAAAGGAAGGGAAAGGAAAGGACTGGGAATTGAAGCGAAGACAGCTGGGAAGATTGTAACCTAAGCGTGACGTGACAAGAGATTGAGCGGGGGATTGATGATCAGATAGTAGGTGATAGGTGGTAGGACAATGGGGATGGATGGGATGAATGAGAGCGAGGGAAGGAAGGCGGGGAGGAAGGAAGGAAGGAAAGTGTATGTATGTATGGTTATAGGAATCATTGACTTGAGTGATGAAATTAACGGTTGTTTATTTTTCTATATTTTCTCTTTTCTTCTTGTTTCTTTTTCGTGTGCTCTTGTGTTTTGTTTCGTTACTGTGAGTGGGTGGGTGAGTCTGTGTTTTAGAAGGGGTTTGGTGAGGGGGGGGTTTAGTTTGGTGGAGAAGAGAGGAGAGGATGTGTGGAGTGTTTTTTTGTTGGGGTGTTTGACCGTCATTACGTAGGCTATGCATATGTGAGGTGGTGGGTATGTGGAAGAGGGGAAGGGGGGAATGGGGGAAGGGGGTAGAGGAGGGGAAAGAGGGGATTTTATAGATTTAGATTTAGATCTGTGATGGTAGGTGGGAATTTGGGGTTTTTGGTTTGAGTAGTAGCATATACTCAACTCAGAGTAGTATGTAGACCTACTTGATTCCAATCGTCAAGGACTCGAGTGACTCTAAGTAGTACATACTTGAGTAGTACGGTATACGCTGGACCGATTTAGTCGGCCCTCGTAGAAGCTAGGAGCTAGAAGCTAGAAGATATAGCAGCGGTTTATTGTGGATAAGGATGTGGTGTGAAGTGCTTGTAGCGTAGGGGATTTAGATTGGGGGTTTGGGGTTTGGCTTTTGGGTTTTGGGGGTTTTTGGTTGAGGATGAATGAGGATGGGGATGAAGATTTGATATCTGAAGACGTTGTGTTTGTCTAGAAATATGTTATGTAAACTACTCTATGTACCTAGTACTCGAGTAGTTGAATTAAGTACTTGTCCTTGATTTAACTTTACTTGACTCCGCGTAACTTTCAGTAGTACTTGAGTTATTAAGTCGCTTATTCGAACGCCGTCCGCGAATTAGAGACTTAAATCTGGGCGATGGAGACTTTGCTCGCTTATGATGTGCGTGATGGTTTTCAGCGTCAACTATCTACCCCTCTTTATATAGGGGATTTGGAAAAGGGAGAGTCACTCGTGGTTTCGTTGTTGCTGAGAGGGTTGGAAAGTGGTATTTGGGGGAGAAATCTTGGGATACAGTATGTGAGGACTGGGATATGTGGATCAGGGATTCGTTTGTATGGAGTGGGATTATATGTGTGTAGTTTTCTTATTCACTATTTACTTGGTGGTCGGTACGTCGGTACTCGTACGACCAAGTCATCAGGCTGTTGTTGTTTTCTAACCAAAATACGCGAGTACGCGAGGAGCATCCCAGTCAGCACTAATCCCATCCGGTTAGGCCCGGAGATTATCTCAAACATGGAACCAACACCCGCCTCAAAAACCGAAGCCTAGAATTTCAGGCACAGAACACGAACCTCAGCTTTCCAACGCGTGAAAGGGCAACATACATTGGTAGATCTCATATCTCATACCTCATTTTCACGACCTAATCTCATTTTTTCCCCCGCCGCTTTAATGAGTATTCGATGAGTAGATTTTGAGCACGTACAGTCTGAGGACGTTGATGGGACGATTTATGATTCAGAGACGGGGTGAATATTGGGTGTAAGAAGGGATTCATAGACCGCGCTTGCGCCGCTGGATACGGAGGGGGATCGGAGGGTGATAGGGTTACTGTTGAGAGGTTGGGACTAGGGTTTCACCCCTCTTTGAATTGTACAACTCGTTGATCTCTACCCATCGCCAACATCGACCAATTTCTTCTCATACAACACCGCCAACATGCCGCGCAATACCAGAGGTGACAGACAGTCGTCGACGCCGAGGCCAGCTAGATACCCGGATATCACTACGATCTTGAGGAGCGTTCTTCCGGTTGATGAGGCGCCTGAATTCACCGTCTTTAACGCGGAGGTCTGGACGAGGGATCGGAGGGGGTTCGTGGATCTTTTGGAGACGAATTTGTATGGGCCGTTTATATTGCAGGGGGTGCTTAGGGTGGATAAGAAGGAGGAGAGGAGTTGTGAGTGTGATTGTTTCACTTTCCTTCCCCTGTCTCCTGATTCTTATATCTCTCATCGATCTCAATTCTTTCAATCCATTGATCAGAATACTGATATTCTATTACAGTCTGTAAAGGTGCCAAAAATGGTCCTTTCGAGTTTGAGGCTGAGATCACGCACTATGCCATAGATGCCAATCCTGAGCCTGAGATTTGGATCGGAACTGTGTGTGGATGGCTTCGAATGTTTCCTTCGGCAAGGTATGGGCCGTATTTCGGTCATATGGAGTGGAGTGTCAGGTTGGTGTATCAATGCCAGGACCTGGAGGAAGAATTGAAGGAGGCTAGGAAGGTATTGAAAGTTGATGAATTTTTGTTAGAGGTGAGTTTTGCCACTCTCAAATCAATATTTTGATTTTGCAGCGGATTGCTCTCCATCGGATGTTGACTGTTGGTAATTTATGCTGACGGGAGAGTAGTATGCGTTATCAGATGGCCGTGGACTTCAGGAAACTCAAATATTGAGATTCTTCCATGATCATGCTAGGACTATGTTGGCGCATATGATTAGTGATCCTGAGATGCGGAAGAGAAAGTTGTTCTTGTTTCTGAGAAATACCTTTAGTGTGAGTACTGTGTCTTAGCGGACTGAATTATGGTCAGCTGACTTTTATCTAGGATGTTTACGAGACTGTTGTCTCAGAGAACAAAGCCCTCGAAGCAAACCACAAAGCTCGTCTTCTAGAGCAAAGCTCAAATTCCCAGCAGTATAGCTCCTTGCCTGTTCGACCAGCGTCGCCAATCAAAAATCAATCTGAAACAATGCCTTTGAAGAACATACCTTCAATACCCAAGTCCACAAGACGCCAAAGCAGGTCCAAATCAGCGACTCCAAAATCAGAGACGCCAGAAGTAGTGGAGCTTTCAATACCAGGTCTACCCTCACACGACCCAACCACATTGGGATTCGGCAAGAATGGCGAACCTTTAATCCACCCTTGTCAAGTCATCATGGATATGATTCTTGCGTCTGATCCAAAGAATGATAGATTCTCAGTCAAGACCATTAGTAGTGCTCTCTTCCAACATTGGAGTTTATGGTGGTCCCCACTATCTAAGCATATGCTCAGGCTTTGGTCCACAGCTATCCTGGACCAGCTTCCTGCCAGATATAAAGGTACCAATTTCCACCGAGAGCTCCAGGAAGTTGCGAAAACCTGTAATGTGGCTAGACGAGACAAGGAATTGGCAACTGCCAAAAAGAGACCCCATGCACCTAAATCGAGGATGGCCAGGTCTGTTGCCGAAATTCATCAAATCACCGACGACGAATGGCTGGCTCAAGCAGCGGAGCATGATGCTATTCATAGACGCAAGAAATCCACGCTTGTTTCTGGGGAATCTGGACCATCAAATCCTGTAGGACCGGCTTCAAAGCGTGAGAGAGGTGGCGCAATTAGTATCGCAGGCTACCACGACCAAGAAAGATTAGACGCAAGTACAGCAGTCTCCACACCAAATGAAACGAAAGAAGGAAAAGAACTTCAGACACGCGCTGAACGTGAGGCCACGCACGCAAGATGGCTTGAGAGCATCACCTCCCGATCCCGCGAACCCTCTCCAGATCCATACTCTTATCCTTACCAGAAAGCCAAATATAACCTTGCGCATGGATTGGATGCCAAGGGTAAAAAGCCAGGAAGTGCGGATAAGGATACGCCAGCGAGCACGCCAGCACCAACCCACAAAACTAGGCCTCAAGTCGAAATCTTTATGAAAAAGACTCCACATTCGCAAAAGGCTCTTCCTACTCATACACCCATATCACAACATTCTGGCAAGATGGCACGCATGAAACCAAAAACCGTTAGTACCAAGCGACCAGCTGAGGACTTCCCACTTATATTACCGCCAGGTCACGATCACAAGCGGAGTCGCATTGGGAACGAAGACGAAGAAGACGAAGAAGACGACGAAGACGGAGATGAAGATGTAGAAATGCAATCCGGTGCCTCCTCCCCATCTCCCTCATCCCCCTCCCCAACCGACAACGACGAGACCAACGACCAAGACGACGACGAGACCAACGACCAAGACGACGACGAGATCCCCAACTCCGACTCCGACTCTCCCGACTCCCCAATCAACCCCATCAAACCCTCCTCCATCAACATGGCCCGCGGACCCAACGGCTCGATGCGCTGCATCATCCCGCAATGCCATTTCATCGAGTACATCCCCGGCAAGAAAGAGGGACAGGATCGGATGCGTGAGCATTTCGAGGTTCATGAGAAAGAGGATCCCGCCGTGAGGCTGGCGCGGAATGAGGGGAAGTTGAATGGGAGGGCGGTGGGGTTCTTGATGGAGAAGTTGAGGGAGAAGGAGATTGGTGAGGGGAGGGTGAGTGGGGAGGGGAGGGATAGGGATGGGTTTCCGTTGCCGATTGTTCGGAGGAGGATTTTTGGGCCTTTTTAGGGGTGGGTGAGGGGGGGGGTTGCTGGGTGAGTTACCAGAAATGAGATGATGGTGGTGGTTGTGTGTGATGGGGCAAAGAATTGATGGCGCGTACAGGGTGGCTCTTTGGATGGGTGGGTTTGTGTGTTTGGCGTTTTGTGTGTTTATTTTTCTTCTTTTTCTTCATTTTTTTCTTTTCCTTGCTGGCTCAACTGATGAATGATGAACGGCAGTTGGATTTCTATGTTGGGAGGTATTCATCGCTGGCTTTTGAAGCTGGACTATGCCCTACCTTTCCACATTGATGGACCTGGTTCACTGGTGGCAATGCCATGTGGACAGGAGGATTGACTCCATAACTGGGCATCCAGCTTGGAGTTGAACAGATATGAATACTTCACACTTCACGACTCTGTACATACTTGGTCCAGTACACGTACATAGCTTTATGTCTTTTCATGGACAAATGAATGGAAAGATACTCTAGAGATCTTACATTTTTGTAGTGACATTTTGACATCGTGTTGTTTGAAATGGGGAGGTGTGGTATGATTCTTCGCCACGTATAGAGTCATTGACTGGTGATTTACTCTGAATCATCATATTGCTGGAGCTTCACTACACTTGGAAGTGAAGTTTGTTTTTTATTCAATATCTCATTGAAAGGTCGGATACTTATGTCATCTACCTCACTTTCAAAAGTCAAGGTAACATAAGAACTCGCATTTTTGACGAAAGGAACTTGAGGGCTTTCTCTCGACAACTCGTTTTCAACCTCTAACTTGAAAGAGTCATATTGAGGCTGTTTATCTGATTATCTGATTATTGGCAAGAACCATGGAGAATCCCCCCAAGAAACAACCGATCCGTAAGTGGGGTGAGGTCTTGGCATCCTGTCACTGTAATAGTGAACACTAGCCTCCTCTATTACTACCTACTCTTTGAGCCCTTCTGCACAACTTCAAGGTTGTCCCTCAACCTTTTTCCCACTTACACACCGATACACTAGAACAGTGATATTTCATCAAGTCTCCAGGGCTGCGATCCCTCTACTGTGCTTTGAGGAAGAGCATTCCTACTGAGCGAAGATCATTCTTATTGATACTCCATATAGAACCCCTCATTTTCTCAAAGGAACATCACTTCTCAATATCTACCACGCTTCACCCTCGACTCGAAATTCTTCTAGGTTCGCAATACGTCCTTACCTAATCTTGATCGAACTCAACCATCCCACAAACAATTCTATCCATACGGAGTGTACATCATTCCAAAGTTGAATTGCGGTCAAAATAAGGTTCTCCCAAGCCCGGGTTCACTAAATTCCGTAAGTACCCACCATATCGGCACCGTCATCGGCACCGGCACCAAAAAATCTTCCTCCGCTCGGGCGCCACGCCAAGAAAAAAAGCCGAACCACCACTTATGTCGGAGTCGCCCCTCTCACGTCTGCAGAGAGAGAGAGAGAAAACATCTCTAACTGAATGTCACTCATAGCAAGAACGGGTGTCATCTCCCGAACCATCTGGCGCAGCATGGCGAAAGAGAAGATTGTCGAGGGGGTTTTTGGTATGTTCTTCTGTTCTGCCTAATCGAGTACCCAATTGAATAGAATCTACAATGTACAAGGAAAAAGAGAGAGAGATGCTGATGTCTGGAATAGCAATCAACAAACCAACAGGTATCACCTCCGCCCAAGTCCTCCGCGACTGTCAAGACATCTTCCACACCTCCAAGCTCTTCGCCCCCTACCTCCGACACCTCCGCTCGAATGTCCAGAAAGATAACCCGAACCAGCGCAAGCGACGGAAGGTCAAGGACCCAAAGGTGAAGATTGGCCATGGAGGGACGCTAGATCCGCTTGCCACGGGCGTGCTGATTGCGGGGGTGGGGGTGGGCACGAAGTCTTTAGGGGACTTTCTGAAGTGCACGAAGACGTACGAGTGTATTCTGCTTTTTGGCGTGAGTACCGATACGTATGATCGGGTTGGCAAGGTCTTGCGTCGCGCGCCGTATGAACATATTACGAGGGAACTGGTGGAGGAGAAGATGCAGGCTTTTAAGGGGACGTTTTTGCAGCTGCCGCCGATTTTTAGTGCGTTGAAGATGAATGGGAAGCCATTATATGAGTATGCGCGCGAGGGGAAGCCGATACCGAGGGAGATTGAGAGGAGACCGGTGGAAGTTAGTGAGTTGGAGATTCTGGAGTGGATGGAGGGTGGCACGCACGAACATAAGGCACCAAGTGAGGAGGGGAGCGAGGCCGAGAAGAAGGTTGCGCAGGAGGTGTGGGCACAGTCTGGATTTCAAAATGGTGCTACGCCGGCTGCTGAGAGTGATGCGAAAGAAGCAGCTGCACAGAAAGAGTTCGAGGGGAGGAAAAGGAAGATGAGTGAGGATCAAGATGAATTGGTTAAGGAGAAGCCGAGTAAACAGCTTAAGGCTGCGACTGTTGAGCACGAAGACGCTGTTATGTCTGGAGGTTTATCAGATACTACGGAAGAACCAGCTCCTTCCGCCAGCCAAAGCAACACTACTATTACACCCACTACCTCAGCAGCCTCTCCACCAAGTTCCAAGGGTTCACCAGCTGCCCGCATCCGTATGACTGTCACCTCTGGCTTCTACGTGCGCTCGTTTTGCCACGACCTCGGTACCGCTGTAGGATCCGCGGGCCTTATGGCGGAGCTGGTTCGTTCTAGACAAGGTAATTTCTCATTCGAGGCCGGAAATGTTATCGAGTACTCGGATTTGAAGGACGGTGGAGAGCAGGTTTGGGGTCCGTTGATTGATCGAATGACGACGGATTGGTGGGCGAAGAAGGCGAAGGAGGTGGAAGCGCCGGTGGAATATGCGTTTAATGGTGCTGGCCAGAATGGAGAGGGGGAGAGTGCTGAGAATGCGGAAGTCTCGAATTCCGCTGCGAAGGGCGACGCAAAAGACTCGAACGCAGCGGAGCCTCAAGATTCTGAAAGCGCTATAGCGGACCCAGCAAAGGTTGAGGAACCAGCCAAGGTCGAAGAACCAGAAAATGTCGAAGAACCAGCAAAGGTCGAGGAACCCGCAAAGGTCGAGAAACCCGCAAAGGTCGAGGAACTGGCAGAGGTCGAGAAACCAACAGAGGTAGAAGCACCAGAAAACTCAGCGAAGGACGCTCCAGAGCCGAATCCAGAGTCCATGGCCTCGAAAAGTACTTGGGCTCGATAAAGCCAATGGAATTAATTGATTTTGCCGAGAATTGCAAAGCCACAGCCTCATGAAGAGCTGTTGAAACTCATAGCAACCCGTCATTACCATATTGGATGCAAAGCCACAGCATAATAATTGGCAGCATAGCTACAGGATACCCGAGAATTAGGGCGAGCATTGAATCAACCTTTAATGTACTTGATCGATATCTCAAAGCTACAGCATATTACATAGCTATGAATTATTGCAGGCTCTGGGATACCGCATTGCTCATCGGGGACCGTACATGGTTGGGTAAAGGGGATAAAAGCTAAACAAAAGCACTTGTATTTTTAAAGAACCCCTCATACAGAATACCCAAATGATGATTTCTTTTTTCTTTTGGTTCAAATTCTATGTCATGGACATTTTCACTCACTGCTGAACTGATCAGCTAGATAGATACATACGGCTGCATAAATATCTATACTCAACACGACAGAGTATGTACAAGAAGTGACGATGATGAATATGCAATTTGCAAACAACAATCGAGTCGACATGACGTGGAGGTACATCAAGCGTAAATCTTACCAGCTGCAAGTTGCAACTCCTCAACAAACCAGTACTCAGACGCCATCAATCCGCTAAATCTAAATCCTCATACTGCACTATACACATCTCGACCAGTACCATAGAATACAATATCTCAACCTCACAGCATCAACCAGCTTCCGCAATCTACTGCACCGTCCGTCATTTCCCATCCGGTGGCCTTTTTTGGTGCTTGATCACCCCAACGCTACGAGTAATCTTACCGTACTCGTACTACTAATATACCCCGACCGGATGAAGATCTGTATCTAGCGATATATGGTCATGGGTGAGAATTACATGTGTGTGTGCTTGCTTGCCACTCGGGACGTTACTGTATGACCGAAATGAAGAAGATTGCTGTTTGAAGGGATCTTGAGGAATGTTTTTGATGTGTTGTTGAGGATATAGGTTTCTTTACTAATGGTTTTGAAGGTGGGGATGAAGTGCTTTTTGACAGTGGAGGGGGTTTCGGAGGTAGAGGGATTTTCGGAGGTGTGGTTGAATCGAATGGTAAACTTTCGGATTTTTGGTAGACTTTGGCATGTGAGGAGGTATTCAGGTGTCATATTTAGATGATATGTACGAGGGGATTGTACTGATTGGTGCGTAGATGGGGGATTATTTTTGATGGACTTGAGGGAGGGAAGTTCTAAGGCAGGGGGGGGAGGAAGGGAAG